CCAGTCATTTCATCAAGTTTGGGCTGCCGACACCTTTAGTTGGTACTCAAACTGGAACTGCTAGCACTAATAGCTCCCACAGTTTCTGTGCTCGCTGCAACATGTTTTCAGAGTCAAAGTCAAAGTAAACTTTATTGTCATCTCTGCTATATACAGTACACTATGTAGAGAACTGGAGGCGACGAGGCTCCAGTTCCATTCAGTGCAAAAGAATAGCAATAAATATAGAGAGAGTAAGAATAAATATACACTTTCAGACTGAGGTAAGAGGAGTAAATATACACTTTGAAGTAAAAAAGGTTAATAATATTCTAAAATTTACATTACATTACATCTGCATTTAGATAGTAACATAAGGTTAAAGTGCTTGTATGCAAACTCCTTTTTGCACAGTTTGCACAAAACCACACTTTTATCAAGGCTTCCGCCTGCCAGTCTTTTGAAATTAAATTTGCCTTTGACCAGTCCTAGCAACACGCTTTACTCTGATTCTGGGGGTGTCCAAAACCATGGGCTGCATCCTCCTGAGGACGCATTTGTAGGCCAATTACGTCACAGCCAGGTGACGAAGGCTGTCCAAAACCATAGACTCCTCCAAATGCAGCAGACAAATGCATCCTCCTTTTCCCCAGATTTTCGAGGATGAGTCTGGTGTATCCGTCGTGGCCCACCATATCCCAGAATTCATAGCGCGGCCCAGCCCAGCTACTTAGTTTCAATATTACTCTTATTACACTTTCTGGGTCACAAAATAAACTTTTAATATATTTTCAGGCGAGAATGTAGCTGTGTAATCTTCAAATATCTGCTCGGTTTATCAAGACATCGCATATTTGCAAAAGTGCTCCGACGTTGTTGGAGACGTCTGTTACCCACCAGCTCGATAGCCAGCCGGGAGCTCGAGGGTCACTAGAGCCGTCGAGAACGGCACATCATTTTCAGATCACTGCAGTCTTTCGCTACTCAGGTAAAACGTAATATATAAGTCACTTAGATTACCTAAAAATGTTACTGTTTGGCTTTTTCAGTGTTTTATTTGTTTGTGAGTAAATCGGTTTGGCTGAGATTAAAGTTATTAGATTAGATTAGATTAAATAAAACTTTATTAATCCCTCGGGTGGGTTCCTCCTTAGTTTTCACACAGCTGAAACGAAGAAAACTGAATAAACAGAAGTGTGAGATGGTCAAGAATTTACTCCAGTGCCCTGTTATATTTTAGATAGCAAGGAGCAGACGGCTGAGTTTATTAAACTCCACCGAGACAGCAGTGACGCAAATCTGAAGGCTAGACCATCCAATTTCACAGCCGTTTACTTCCGGCCTACCCGACCTTCTAAAGACCCGGCCCACATAGACCGCAATGGCCGGGTCCTCGGGAGGATGCAGCCTATGGTTTTGGGCACGCCATCTTTGTAGCTCTGATGTGTGCATCAGTGTAATCGGTATACCAGGAAATTGTGCATTGACAAAATTTCTTGTTTGATTGGAATGCAAAGTGCGTTTAAATGCGTTATTTTTTTTTCAAATTAATTAATCGCAATTAACAAGGAACTGACCTGCCAGCCCATTGTTCCTTCATTGGTGGTAGTTTCAGTCATTATGCAAATGCACTGTTTATAAGGGTTGGGGAAACCTGCAGTCAGCTGAGACTGAAGAAGTCACTTGGATGCGTGACG